AGTTGTGGAATGATCTGCCCTTGCATGTTAGGCAGGCCTCTTCTCTTTCTGAATTTAAAAGTCTTCTTAAAACATATTTATTCGCTGAAGCCTTTGGCATTGATTAGAGGGGTTGACTCAATTTGTTTTAACATGTTTCAATTTATTGTATCTATTTATTTTATCGTATCTCATTTTAATTTTCTTTACGTATGCTATTAACATGTACAGCACTTTGTGAAACTCTGGTTTTATGTTAAAGTGCTTTAGAAATAAAGTTGGTATGGTATGGTAATATCAACACCAAGACCAGAAAAGAGCTCTGAGAAGCTCCGCCCACACGCTCTCCGTCAGTTACAGGTCAGGCACTGATGATGATGATACCAAAACTGCTCAGCACGTGCATATCAGAAAGTGTGTGCTCAGTTATCCTTCAGGTTAGTGAGTGCTGAGGTTCCTGCTGATGTCACAGGCGTCGGTGACTCGCCGCCGTCCTGCGCTGCCTCAGTCAACTGACAGTTGAACTGCTGCGTGAAGGCGTGCAGCAGGTGAGGGACGACCTCCTCCACGCTAGCGTGTCTCCGCAGCTCGGCGCTCAGCGACGTCACGCCTTTCCCTTCGATCCCACACGGAACGATGTGGTCGAACCACGACAGGTCGGTGCAGCAGTTCAGCGCCAGACCGTGAGACGTGATGTAGCGGCCACAGTGTATTTCTGAAAACACGAGAGCCGTCATTCAGGCAATTCTTACACAGGACGTGCTGAAGAGCAAGGAAGAGCAAGCAGCTGCGTTGGAGCCCTGCTGAATATGGTAGCGATCAAATGAAACACGCACACACTGACATAAACATGTTACCAACCTCACACCTGACCAACAGATATGAAGAGCATGTTTCACCTCTTTACCTCCGTGGGCCGGTGCACTGTTATACCACACCTGAGTCCAGCCAGTAAAACTGTTCCGTCTATGCGAGCGGCCTTTAGGTCACATGACCTCACCCTCACGCTCGCTGACAGCCTTTAACAGGTGAACAGCACCTGCAGAGATGGGTGGTCGGCCACCTGCTGCGACCCCTAACGGCCAGCAGATGGCGCTTTGTAAATAAAACTGAATTGAACTGAAAATTTTTAAACTGAGGATTTTTCACGGTGGTGATTTCATTCTTGTCTCGATCTTTTTCCCGTCACGTGTAAGGTCCGCTCTCCTAATGACACAATAACTTAACCATAAACCACACTTGTGGCTAAGAGAAAGGACTCAGTGCGTCTGGACATTTGTGTGCCAATGAAAAGAAGGCAGTGTGACTTTGTCCATCGTCACTTAAAGACAAGGAAGTAAGAAAACAGGACAGAATCAGTGCTTTTGAATAGTGGTGCCGGAAATGGATTTCATCAGACTGAAGGACCTGCGACTCGCTTATTTCAGACACGTCACGTCTCTTCTGTTCTTCACATCAGCGTGCGAAGAACAGAAGGAAGACCGGCAGCGTTGGTTTGACACCATTATGACAACAACAGGAAGAGGCCAAGGATCAATCTTCCTACAGAATGTTTATCCACCCTTCTGTAACTGGGGCTTAAAATGAGTTTTTACTGGACTTTATGGTTTCAGCTCTATGACAGTCCTGGTTCTGGCCCAGCTGAGATCAAACTGGACCCTGATCCAAAGCGTCAGTGCTGTGTGACTGTAGGTCTATACCTCGCAGTATAAATAAAGCATCCTGAGGTGACTGTAGAGCTGGGCGATATGAGATTTTTTCATATCACGATATGTTTTTTTCATTTCAGGCGATAACGATATCTATCACGATATAAGCCAAATAACTATATTTGTAAGATTTAAATGTGCCGTTGCTCACAAGTAAAATGTGAAATAATCAGCAGCTTGTTTTTATTTAAATATTTATTTCCCATAATAAGTTCAACAGGGTAGATGTACTTAAGGAACACGAGACTTTTTCAGATAAATAAAGGCAAATATTGCAAACTACACAAAAGGCAGCCGCTAAAGCGTTTAAGTTTCAAAATAGAACAAATGAAACAGACTAAACTGTCAATTCCACTTAGAAACAAAATATTAATTCTAAAAATAAATCTTAGTTTGTTTTACAGAAGAACAGACAAAACTGACTAACTTTTGTCAATATCAAATAAACTGAGAACTAAAAGGAAATTCTCAATCTCTCCTTGTTGTATAGCTGAGCTTTTCAAACAGTTTTAACAGTTACGTCAGTCTGACAAAAGCCGAATGATGAATTAGCGCTTCCAGTCAGAGACTGAGGCTACGTCCACACGTACACGGGTGTTTTTGAAAACGGAGATTTTCCGTTTTCGTTTTAAAAATAATCCCGTCCACACATAAAGGCAGAAATGAAGGAAAACGCTGCTATGAACATGTCAAAGCAGCAGGTGGCGCTAGATTCCTAACCGTGCAGAAATGTAGGCCAATCAGAAGTCTAGAAGCCTCGGTGGGAAAAAGTAAACAAAGTATGTGTGGAGGGACAGTAACTGTGTGTATATGTAAGCATTTAAACACTGCAGAGAGTAGAATTAACAGTATTGTAGAAATTCATTTCACCGAAACAATAACGTGGCGCACAGTGTGACGCATGCAGCAGTTTATTGTATTTCCAGACTTGCTTTCAGCACAATTTACAGTGCACGCTACTCTGTTTTTAGTCAGACTTGAAATAGCCGAAATACCTTCACACTACGGAACTTCTATGGCTCTTCCGTTCGACAATCTCTCCGGCATTGGAACCATCATCTGTTTTCTCTTCGGTCACGCTCGGTTGATTTTTCTAGTCGGCACACTCATTTCCTCCATTACCCGCTGGCTGCTTCCCAAACAAACACACGTGCGGCTTGGCACTTGTGCTGTACGTAACAAGTCACGCAGACGTGACGCTGCGGCTGTGATTGGTTCGGCTCTGCGCTACTTAATTTGGATTGGCTGACCTTTTTTTTTTTTTCTTTGAGGACAAGAGCGGCGAGGTCTATCGCGATAGCTTAATTTCTCTATCGAGTAAAAGTTATATCGCGATACATATCGTTATCGTTCTATCGCCCAGCTCTAGGTGACTGCTGCTGATGCCAATAAACCTGGTGAACTCCACCTGTAGCCTGGATTAATCAGCTGCTCGTGTCTGATTATTGGTAATTATTGGTTTTAAAAAGCAGCCACACAGTCAGTGAACACATGGTTGGTGATTCAGGCTCAGAGCGACGCAGTCGTACCGATGGCGCAGATCTTATTGTCTCCGACCCAAACTCCCGTGTGAGGGGACGTCGTAGCTCGGATGGCGAACCTGCTGCAGAGTGCGATGACGGTCTGCTCCAGCTGATCGACGTACCACCGCACGCTCTGAGAGAACAGAAAACATTAAAATAAGTTCGGCTCTGATAAAAACACACCAATCTCATTCCCACGTCAGCTCAGACCTTCTTGAAGCTGCACAGGTTCAAGACTGGGTAGCAGACCAGTTGTCCCGGCCCGTGGAAGGTGATGAGTCCTCCCCGGTTCGCCCGGGCCACATCGGCCCCCTGCAGGCGCAGTTGGTCCAGCAGGGGCTCGGGGTAGGGTTTGTGGCGGATCCCGGTGGTGTAGACCGGCGGGTGCTCACACAGCAGCAGAGCGTGAGCAGGGCCGGACCGGTGCCGGTTCACGTAGACCTGCTGCAGTCGCAGAGCCTCCTGATAGGAGACCAGGCCCAGGCGGACCACCTCCACCAGCGGCTGGCCGCCCCGCATCTGGGACTGACACCAGACCAATCCAGACTGTTAGTTGCACAAATGTTTAGTTTTGTTACTTGTAACCTGTTTAAAATGTATCCAGCCTTAAAGGCTGCATGACTAGGGGCGTGGCCACTTTGATTGACAGGTGGATGGTGACACAGGTGTCTGCTGTGACTTATACAGTGGATGGGTTCCGTCAGGAGCAAAGATCCTCCATCTGGTTATCTGAAACCAGCAGCACATTAGCTTTAGTGTCACAGCACATGTACATGCATGCTCATGTTCCCAGGACCTGAACCGAGAGTTCACAAGCTGCCCTAGAATATCGCAGTTTTTAGATTCCCTTAGTTCAGCAGAGATCCTGGGACATTTCTCCGAACATAATCCAAACGACACAAACCTGAGCTACTCACAGACAAATCGGCTGCTTCAATTCACACATTATAAACTCACAAAGCAGAAAACTAAAAATAAAATCGAGGTGGAGCTTCTGCTCGCGGGCACTGAGCGCTCTGACCTCAGTGACACGGTCAAAGCAAACCGTAGTACATCTCTGAATGGGAAGCAAATCCCTCCGCCGTGTCTCTACGTGATTATTTCGTTAGTTTATTAATTTATCAAAATACTTTATCAAAACCATCACCTGTCTAACTTCTGTACGCTCCTCTACCACGACCCGCTCTTCTTCTACAGCTGTGAGACTGATGACGTCTTCCGGTTGTACAGCGCCGTCTTGCCATTAACCGGAACCTAAAGTCTTTCATAATAAAACTGAATTATTATCGACTTATTTTTTAATCTCGCAGTTTTGTCAAATTAATAAATATCATTTCTTGAGTTGAAGAATTAGATTCATATTAAGGCAACAAAATCTAAATTGCCAAAGATCTGCTCTCTTTCATGAGAAAATAAATTCACAACAGGTAAATTACAATATGTTGGCCGTCTTGTTTTTAATTTTATTACTTCTCATCCCTCCGTCTTTATTTTGCCAATGTTTACTTTCTAAGTAGCGATTTCTTTGTCTTGCAATTTATGTTTATTGAAAAATAATGCTGTTAAACCACACACTAAAAATCACAAACTCAGCCCCAACAGAAAGAGACATATTTAGCAGCTTTGATTTTCAAAGCACATTTTGCTACATATTTTACATGTTTGTTTTTTTTACAGACTACCATCAAGTTATTTTTTATTTTCTAAATTTGGAAATGCACAATAAAATGCAACGACTTAGTTTTATTTTGAAGTCGACACCTGACGTCAGAGGAGGCTCGCGCCGCTGTGATTCAGCGGCTCCGGTTGGCGGGCTGCACGCGCGTCCACTCCTCTGCGCTCGCGCTGTTTCGGCGGCGGCAGGGCGGGGTTTGTTTTGAGAGCGGACCGGAGAGAGAAGACTCACCAGGGAAGATGGCGACCGCAGGGTCTGCCGAACGGCCTGGGAGACCGGCCAGCGCCACGGCCGCCGGCACGTCCCGGGCCGGGCTCGCAGCTCGGTGCCGGTCCGGGTCCAGCCCACCCGAGTACGAATCCAAGAAGTGCATGGCGTGCGCGGAGACCGGAGGCAGCCCGGCCGGCAGACACCTGGCCTGTCCGCTCTGCCTAGCCCCCAGACACTCCGGCAGCGAGGAGCGGCTCCGCGGGAGGAGCGACCACGAGAGTAGCAGCAGTAGGCCGGGCGGGAGGGACTGCGACAGCCGGAGAGGTCGGTGAGCTTCTCGGGGAATCGCCCGTGCAGATATCGCTGTATCACACCGCTGCAGGGTGTTTGTTTAACGGCAGAAAACAGCGGGAATTTAAATGAAATCAACTTTAATAAAGTTTAACGTGAGCAGCGCGCGGTTTTAAGAATGTTAAAGGTTAGTTTTATGTGAAAAACATTTATGAAGTGTGGTAGCTGCAGGCGTAAAAATCCCCGCTTTTCTTTATGGAGTTTTGTATGGAGCTACAGGCTCAATCACAGGTCAACGTGTGGACACAAATCAATGAGAAAACCATGGAAACAGCCCTCAGAGGACACGTGACTGCTCACAGTGACCTCACCTGATCACAGGTATAGGCAGCAGGGTCACATGTCATGTGGCACTGCTCAGGTCTGCAGATGGGGAATGTGTCCAGACATGTACAGCTGGAGGAGGAGTTGAGTTACTGCAGTACTAGTAGTACTGGAGGTATTACTGCGTGGACTCTGTTAGCAGTGGCTGGCTGGAAAAGCCCAAGGGGGTTATTACTAGCAGAGGTGGGACCAAGTCATTGTTTTGCAAGTCTCAAGTAAGTCTCAAGTCTTTATCCTCAAGTCTCAAGTCAAGTCTCAAGTAATGTCAGGCAAGTCAGAGTCGAGTCTCAAGTCACTGGTGTAAAAGTCCGAGTCAAGTCACAAGTCTGAAACTTTGAATTTCAAGTCCTTTCGAGTCTTTAAAAAAAACAAACGAAAAAATAATGTTGCAGTTATATGCTAAATGTAAATATTAGACCATGTAATTTTAAAATCTGTGTTTTTCTCAACACATGACAAAATAGTGAACTTAGAAAATATACACAAATTGTGAAATTGCACCTCTTTAAAATGCAGCTCAATTAAACTTAGCTCCAAGAATAATTTTCACCGACAGTTCTGAGATAAGCTGCATGTTATTCTTGGATGCGGTTGTAGGACCAGCTTTAAAATCGCATGACAAAAATATCATACACATTAAAAAAAACTGCATCACCAACGTAGCCTGGACAACATTTGCTAGTTAGATGAAGTCAGCTATCTCATCGTAGCATATTTATATGCATATTTATAATTATACGGTTCTTGGAGTGAGTGCATACACTCATGAAGTTTAGTAACTTCAGGTCACTGCAACAAGCCCAGGTACAGTTTACCGACGGATGGGTGCAGGACCTTGAAATGCACCGTGTAGAACGAAAGACCATCGTACGTATCATAAGTTTACCAGTCTCACAAATTGTCGTCATAAATACACATTCCTTAACCGTTTATTAATAGGACCTTTGAGCTCAACGGTAATTAATTAGTAGTGGAAATAATTTCTGGTTCATCACAGAAATGTAGCAGTGACAATAATACTGTATGCTGTAATCGTACTGGGCAATTAGTGATACAAAAAACCTGTTTTATCCTGTGAATAAAAGTATATGTTTTTGTCAATGTACCATAATAACAGAAGCGAAACGCAATATTGTGTCAGGACAATTCACTATTTATGCACAATAAATAAAGGAGCATAGCGCGACCATTTCTGTTCAGCACCAGACTTGCTTGTAACCTATATCACCAATTATGTTATGAAAATGACGTATTAACTACTAAAAACACTGACCTTCGTGTAAATGCTTGGAGCAGACTAACCTGTGAGCTGGAGTGTTCTGGGACGTTATATTTGATCTTTGAATGGCTGCAATCCAGTCGCGTCTTTGTTACTTCGGAAACATGGCTCGAACAATTTCTCTTCAACGACGTAATCCGATAACAACCGATCTCTTTACCCGTCGGCTTCCCGTGGCTGTCATGCGACCGGCTATTGCAGTTAATAATACAACAGCTTCTTGACATTTTTGTGTTTCTTTTTATCGCTGTGTGACTGATTTCAATTGAAAGCCTGCGTGCGCTAGTACCGCTTGCCACGAGTTCCCAGAATCCTTTGCGGTTCTACCCGTGAATGACGTCACATTTTCAATCTCTATATAATATGCATGTTAAATTTTATATTTGGGGTAAAATATCAAGTCTTTTCAAGTAAACCGGTTCAAGTCCAATTCAAGTCCCAAGTCATTGGTGTAAAAGTCCAAGTCAAGTCACAAGTCTTAGAACATTTTTTCAAGTCAAGTCTAAAGTCATAAAATGAATGACTCGAGTCTGACTCGAGTCCAAGTCATGTGACTCGAGTCCACACCTCTGATTACTAGTACTTAGAGCAGGACACAGCAGGAGAACCATAAATACTGTAAGTACTCTTTGACTTGCACTGACCACTGTGAACAGCAGTTCTTACATAAGAAAGCTCGGGTGAGACTCAGTGGCTTTATGTGTGTTGGATGAAGTCAGAAGGTGCTGATGGTGATCATGTTTTATTCATTGACCCAATACTGACACCTTTAGCATTTTTCCTTTTAGGCTGTATCTGAGCAGCTTTGTGTGATTCACAGTTTGTCTGATGCTGGGCTTCTGTCGTGTCTCTCTGACATCACAGATAGCCAAGAGTGGAGCAAACCGTGCCCGAGCTGTGAGCTCACAGGTTTACTGCACGTGCACCGAGCTCGTTATTACAAAGTTTTAAGACAGGAAGTGAACAGTAGAATTTTAGTAGTCAAAGTCACCTGTTTAAATTGTATTAAGCCTTTAAATGATTAGGGGCGTGGCTTCTTTGACTGTTTTCTCTTTGGCTGTGTTCCTTTAGAGTTCTTCGTCTCTCCGGTGCTCATCCCGAAGTCTGCCGACGCTCCTTCAGGCCCGAGCGGGAAACACAAGGTGAGTCAGAGAGCTGCAGGTAAACCTGTGATCACCTGTGAGTGGTTAAGCTCGTCACAGCCGACCGAGCCTGCTGAGTGTTTTATTGCTGAGGAAGAAAAGCAGAGCTCTGCAGGCTGCCGATATCAAACTTGAGAACTTTGGCTTTAATTTGAGTTTACATTAAGTTTACATTAAGTTTTCTCTCTAAGCAGTCACCTCTCTCTCAAAGTTTCCACTGTGAGTCTCGATATACCCTCGTAGATGCTGCGTCGTCTCGTGGAGACAGGAGAATCTTTGTGTTTTAGCCCTTGAAATAAACTTTAACCCCTCCGTGTTTCAGCTGCTGCTGTGTGACGACAGAGAGGAGGTGAAGAGGAGGAGCTCTCTGAACTGTAAAGACGAGTCAGTCCGTCGTGATGAAGATCCGGTGAGTGATGACAGGCTGAATGTTTTCATCCTGCAGCAGCTGTCTTAACTAGCTGTTGTCCCTCCTCAGGGCGTCCTGTCTGACTCCGAGAACGAGGAGCCGATCAGCAGGAGGATCCGAAACATCTCAGCCTTTATCAGGAAAACCAAAAACTCATCCGCTGGGTGAGCACAACCACCCTGTCCTATTCCTTTTGCAGACAGTGAACGTACCACAGACTACAGGGGTGTGACCTCTGACCTCTGTGTTTATTCTTTAGGAGTTGTCAGAGGAGCAGGAGCTGCACTGATCCTGTGGAGGATGGAGGAGGAAAGATGAAACTTGTCACCCAGCCGGCAGCCGTGATGGACCGGGTACGTGAGACAGTCATGTCATGTGATCAAGACTCCCGTCTGTGGGAACTTCAGAAGAAATAGTGTTTTATCAGGCTGTGTTAGAGAGTGTAATCAGATTACTGTATGCTTCAGGAGCCATCCAGGTTCAGTCTGCGGGGAGAAGGATCGTTAAGCCCCTCTGCCATTAGAACCTGCTCGGCACGATTAGCCCCAGTTTTCAGGGTTACCTTTAGGTCATAGTACCTGGTCGGGTTCCAAGCGGTCCGAGCAGGTAATAAAATGTGACTTCATCAGACTACATGATTGGCTGGTCAGTAGCGTCACTGGATGAGTCGTGAGAGCTTCTCGTTCAGTAAAATCAAAACCGCCATTTTTGAAACGCTACATCAAAGGAGATGGCTACAAAAACAACGCTGCGTTCCCCGAGTGACGAAAAGCCACAGAGTGAGCTGCAGGCATATATTTGCTTCGACGTGCACCTTTGTCTTAGTGTTCGTGTCACATGTCAATAGACTCTGTGCACCGTGTGCTACTTCCGGTGGGGAAACTCCTGTAGGGCGCCTCGTTTCCGGTGTGATATTCACGTCTTGTTTACGGTCGGGTTTTCCAAAACAAGTCAACCAAATGGATGAATCAAGCGGCGATTTACATTTCTCAAGATGTCGTGGGAATTTACTGAATATATCTGTAGATGATGTTCGTCGACGTGTCGATATTTCCCCCACGCCTCAAAGCAAAAGAGAGAAAGGATTCAAATATTTTATTTTGAGTGTTTGTATACAGCGGCCCCTCGTTTATCGCCGGTGTTCTAAAAATAACCAGCAACAGGTGAAATCCGTGAAGTGCCCAGCTTTATTTTTTACAATTATTTGAGATGTTTTAAGCCCCTCACTACACTTTATACACTTTTCTCAGACAGGCAGGAACATTTTCACACTTTTCTCTCTTGCTTAAACTCTCAAAGTTCAAACCTTCGTAGAAAAATAATTCCAGTATTATAGGATGAAACCAAAGATCAAACCGTGTTTTCGGGTCCAGAACATGAGAATAGAGCAGCTGAGAGAGAATCCAACATCAATCAATCATTAATGAATCAATGAATCAGCGATCGATGTAGCGATTCTGTACTGTACAGGAGAGACGGCACGGAGGAGATCAACAATGGTCTGCAGCCGAACGCAATGTGCTGTAAAAATAAAAAAGCATGCAAAATTGCACACAAAAAATCTGCGAAAGGTGAACCGCGTTATAGCGAGTTAGGGAGTTATAGCGAGGGACCGCTGTAATTTTGAAGGCAAGTCACAACATACCCTTCGTGAATACTAACGTATAGAAACCCTTACCAGCAATCATTCATTTATTTTTTTGTGGCTTTTTTTCATAGTTTGTTGACATGCTGTGTGGGTGTGTACTGGTATGGACATAACGGGGAAACATCTGGCTTTGACTGTTGTTCACCTGCAGTTTGAGACATTTGCCTGTTTAAATCATAAGAACTGTCTGTATACAGAGATGTGCTTCTGCTGCAGTGATGCAGTTCTGCTTGTGTTGAGTGACGTAAACAACCAATCGATCTGCACGCTTCAAACGTCAAAACTGATCATCTGATTTTTTTTTTTATGACACAGCAGTGGTGAGTGTTCCCACCTCTGCTCTTTGTAACTTAACGCCATCTTTCCGTTTTCGTGTTTTGGACATGATTTTTGAGTCCACCTTCGCAGTAGCGATTGACCGCAAAATAAAGCTACCGGAAACGTACAACCCCACTAGGGCTGCCACGATTAGTCGACTAGTCACGATTACGTCGACCATCAAAATCGTCGACGACTGATTTAATAGTCGACGCGTCGTTTGAAGCTTTGTAAGATCCCAAAGACGCAGGAATAAGTAGCAGGATTTAAGAGTGTAATAATGGACTGAAACAGAAGATGGCAGCATTGCATGTACAAGGATGCCAGCTGCCATTAAACCCCGAAGAAGAAGAAGCTCTGTCCCAGAATTCATAGCACAGCTTCCAACAATGGCGGCAGCTAGTTAGTTTTAATATTACTCTTATTATTCTTTCTGGGTCACAAAATAAACGTTTAACATATTTTCAGGCAAGAATGTAGCTGTGTAAACCTCAAATATCTGCTCAGTTTATCAGGACACCGCATATTTTCAAAAGCGCTCCGACGTTTTCAGAGACGTCTGTTACCCACTAGCTCGATAGTTAGCCGGGGGCTAGGTCACTAGAGCCGTGAGAACACCGGACTCCCGGCAAATCGCGTCTTTCGCTACTCAGGTTAAACATGATATATGAGTCACTTAGATAACTTAAAAATGTTATTGTTTGGCTTTTTTAGTATTTTATTTGTTCCTGAGTAAATCAGTTTGTCTGAGATTAAAGTTATAGTTTTTACACAGCTGAATAAACATCAAGCAGACAGCTGATTATCAGAAGTGTGAGATGCTCGAGAATTTACTCCGGTGTCCTGTTATAGTTTAGATAGCAAGGAGTTTATTAAACTTCACCGAAACAGTCTGCAGATTTCATTAAACTTTAATAAACTATCATCTTGTCTTTATTTTTAGTTAGCACCTTAAACACTTAAAGCTGTAAGCTAATGATAGTTATATAAGAGCAGATGCTGCTGGTGCAATAAGCTGTACGCTGTACGTCCAATGGATGATGATTTGATTAGTCGACTAATCGCAAAAATAATCGGTGACTAGTCGACTATCAAAATAATCGTTTGTGGCAGCTCTAAACCCCACATCCGGTCTTAAAACAGGAAGTTAGCATTTTCTCATGCACAGGGTCTATTACGTTGTGAGACGCGCAGACAAATTGCCCTGATGACAATGCACTGGTCTGTAATGGAAAACCAGTCGATTCAAACAGGTATTAATGGAAAAGGCTCTATAGCAGGGGTGTCAAACTCCAGGCCTCGAGGGCCGGTGTCCTGCAGGTTTTAGATGTGTCCTTGGTTCATCACAGCTGACTCAAATGGTTAAAGGACCTCCTCAACATGTCTTGTAGTTCTCCAGAGGCCTGGTAATGAACTAATCATGTGATTCAGGTGTGCTGACCCAGGGTGAGCTCTAAACCCTGCAGGACACCGGCCCTCGAGGCCTGTAGTTCCCCACCCCTGGTCTATAGAGTGCTTTGGGGTCCACATCCTGAACTTTCACTGTGAGCTTGCACCATCAGGCAGGCATTAGAGTGACAAACCTCTGCCTCCTTGTCTGCCTGACACATCGTGTGGATACCACCCCACTACAGCTCAAATACCTGGTGAAACATCACAACTCTTAAAGGAATCGCCTTCTACTCAAACATGCTCACAGGTCCAGCTGTGTAGAGTCCAGTCTCTGCATGGAAACAGCACAGCATCCATCAGAAGGAAGTGTCGGGTTTTACAGAAAAAATCCATACAAGTGTATAAAACGGGGCCTGGTGATGGCGTTTATTCTTATATTTCACCTGTGTTAAACAGCTGTGTGGTTGCTGACTTGTGTTCTTGTGTCCTCCGCCAGGTTGGCATCAGCCACAGCTATGCGGCAGGAATCCTCCTCTCCTCTGAGAACAGCCGCTCTATCTCCGCCCCCATCACCGCTCCCGATCGGAGGCTCACCTGGCGAGCTGTGCTGACATCATCTTCCTCGGCTCTCCTGTGCATGCCTCCTCCCCGCCCGGAGCGCTCCATCAGCCCCGAGAGCAACGACAGCATCTCCGAGGAGCTCAACCACTTCAAGCCCATCGTCTGCTCGCCATGCACGCCACCCAAGCGCCTCCCGGACGGCCGCCTGATGGAGCCCACCATCGTGAAGTCCACGCCCCGGAACCTGACCCGCGGTCTGCAGAAGGCCACCAGCTACGAGGCCAGCCCTGCCGTCCTGCAGAAGTGGAGGCAGATCGAGCTGGACCGCCAGAGCCTCAAGGTGAACTCCAAGGCCACGCTGACGAGCCCCGTCTCCGAGGTAAACCACAACAAGCTCGGCATGGGTGGCGAGGGTGCAAAGACGCGCCAGTCCCCGGCAGGAGACGCAGTGACGTCAGCAAACAAGAGGAGGCTGCTGTTCGACTCTCCAGCCGGCGACACGGACAGCTTCCAGAAGCAGTCGGTGAAGATCCGCGTCCCTGCGGTCCGCTACAGCAGCGAGTCGACCTTCAAGGGAGGCTTTGAGCCGCCGGCCGGCACTCCTGAGTCCTGCAGCACGGGGGCGCTGTTCAGTCGGAAACAGTCGTTCTCGCCCTACACCAAGAACTCTGGGGTGCAGTCCTGTAAGTTAGTGCCAAAGGACTCTCAGAGTCCCAGGAAGGAGTCCGACAGTAGCATCCACAACCAGACTACCTCACGGAGGGGCAAGAAGAGGAAGCAGAAGACCAAACATCTGGACTCGAGCCGCGACTTGGATCTGAAGAGGGGCCGGCCCGTCAACCAGGAAGCGCTGGACGAACGGTACATCTGCCAGATTCAGCAGGAGCGGCAGGATCGAGCGCTCGCCCTGAAGCTGCAGAGACAGTTCGACCGCGAGAACCAGAACCGTAGAAGGAGCCCCGACAAGTATTTCCTGCGGTCCTGGATGTCCACTCAGAGCCGCAGGAGGCGTGGTCTGAGGAGGTCCAGACGAATCAACAAGAAGCACTAGACAGACGGGAAGGATCTCATATATGCAAAGACACGAAAGGCGAAGGTTTAATGAACGTATGAATGTTTTCACTCGTCTGACAAACGGGTTTGTAACCTGGAGACGTTTCTTCCAAACACCAGCAGATCACCAAAAACTGAACCTTCAGCTACAGGACGGCGCGACAGTCGTCACCACAGGAAACCTCCTGGAAGTGTTTGAACTCAGAGGCTTAATCTGAGCTTTTTTACAGATCGCATGGCCGAGTCGTTTCTCTGCAGCTGGAACAAAGAAAGCTTTCACAGGTTCAACCATAGTCACGTGGCCCGGAGCAAAGGATGTTTATGTTGAGCTTCCAGTTACAGATCCAGGGTGGATGTGAGGCCCTGAAGGTCACAATGTCTGAGCTGAACATCGCCTCGCATCCCGACACCGCTGAAGGCGACGGCGGTGTTTAATCCGTATTTGTGCGCTGCGTTCCAAACACAGCAGCCTGCTCATCATCTGAACTGTTGCAAAGGTTCAGATGAAGGCAGGCTGCACGCTGCCGGGCCGAACACGACTCTGTCGGTTCAGTCCGGTGCGCTCCACGCGATGATGATGATGTTTATTAATATAGTTCATTTAAATCTCACCGGCCTCACAGTGATCTCCCAGAGGCCGAGGAAAATCTAAAAGGAGCTTTATGGAAAGAAATGAGATGAGGGACTTTTCCTTTGCTGCTAGCGTGAGTGTCGGCCTGAGCTGCTGTTTGACAGAAATCTGTCTTTGTATTTGTGACCGTTTATGAAGCCCAGTTTGAATAAAATAGTTAAAAGTGATTTTTTATTGGCTCCAAAACTCCAGACTGTCAGAACTTTCCAAAAGTCCAAAATCATGATTCGTATGTATTTCGGTAGCTCAGAGCGTGACACGCGTCTCTTCATTCATATCTGAAGTGAACACATATCTGAACACATCACTTCCTACCTGACGGTCCCTCTGGGTGTGCAGGTAACCCTCCACCCCTGAAAGCGTGACATGTACCTGGTATTACCCTCTGAGGTGATACTGAGGAGCACCGACGGTCGCTGTGACGCAGGTTTCTGTCAGCAGCACGTCTTTGCCCCGGGCAGGTGGAAGTTACCCCTGGTTTATCCTCGTGAGAACTTTCCACAGGTTAATCAAAGTCCAGCCGACCTGCATGTGTTGGGAATGCAGGAGAAACCAGAACCCGCTCAAATATAAGGAGGTGTTGAGTCAGACTTCTCCCAGCAGCTGAGGATCATGGGACATAAACTTCCTCTAGTATAGCTGCTGGTGTCATCCTGGTCTTCCAGTCTGAAAGTCGGAGCTGCCGAGGCTCGTGGGGACTGCAGTCTTTAGAACCCGATTGGTCAGGAAGGATTTCTACCTGAATTCGGATCAGGAGACTCACCTGGTCACTCTCAAGGAGCGAGGAGCCGTGTGATTGGACGAGCTTTATGGCCTGTGATGTCAGATGCTGGTGCATTCAGACCAAATGTGAATTTACTGTGGTCACAGAGCTCTGACTGTGGTACTTTTAATAATTATTGATTTATAAAAATCACGCTGGAGTCAGAGTTAGAACGTCACCTGTGGTCCACAGGAAGCAGGTGAGGCAGGTGGCTGTAGAGCCGACAGCCATTTAGCAGCGAGGTTAGAGCCCCATCTCTATGTAGAGAAACTTCCACGATTGGGCCAAGCTGAACCAATCAGTGAGCGAGTTCAAGCTTTCGGGGACAAAATCCACCCTGACCCTTCACCCTCACAGTCAGCTGTTTTCTGTCTGCAACGTAAACATATTTAATGCAGAAACTGCCTTCATGCTGCGAATACTGTCAGAGTTACAGGAAATGCGTGAGGTGGTTTCCAAATCTGGATCTTTTTAATGTTTTGATCGCTCCGTCAGTGCAGCAGAGGTCCACACGAAGCCTTCAGGCTGAAACCATCAGAAACTGCAGCTCGCTGCCACGCCCCTGCAGGAGCCTGAGCCTGAAGCTGAGACTGAAGGTGGGCGTGCACGTGCTTGGTCTGAGCTCACCTTCACACTCTGCTTCAGCGTTCCAAAGGAGCTGCACGGCTTCTGTTTGCAGGTCATCTGTGTTGGATCGGTGATGCTGTAGCTCCTGCAGGCCGTCCAGATGTCTGGTTCCTCAACACACGTGTTTTTTCTCCATGCTAAGCTCTGTCAGTGGTTAGCCTGAGTGCAGCGGCACGCTGTGTTCACACTGTGCTCAGATCAGAGGCAGTCTGAACGACGCTGAGCGCTGGTGGGTCGCTGTTAGAAAAGCCGTACTCGCACTGAGCCTCAGTAATGTCATGATTCACTCTGGGGGTCGTATGTATGATAGATGCTGAAGAAGATGTGAGGGCGGGGACAAACTGAGGACACGCCCACAAACATCCAACGTGTTGGTGTAGTTACTCTGCAGTTCCTCTACCTGAACACCTGCAAAGAAACAATGAGGTTGGGTGGCGTTAGAACCAGACTGCAGCTCACAGGCTGGATGTAAAATAAAGGTGTAGCTCCTTAAACCTGCATTCTGTCTAATGTCCAGCAGGGGGTGGCAACTCAAAAATCTGAGACACTCACCTGGTCTCTGTGCTCACTAACACTTTCCTGATTGGCTGATCATCATTTTGGAGATGATGGTGCCGTCAGAGTCACAGGAAGCAGGTTAGGGGTTAGGGCGGGGCTACCTGTGATTGACAGATTGCAGTGCTCTCTCCCTGTCATGTCTGCCAGCAGCACAAACCCAGGTCCAGTTCAATGACTGGAGTTACCGGAGGTAAGAGGCCACGCCCCTAATAACTGTATTACTACCTTTAGCTTACAATATAAAGCGACTTGAGACGGCTGTTGTTGTGATTTGGTGCTAAATAAATAAAAGTGAATCGAATTCAAACCATGTGAGCGTAAAATGCAGGTGTCATGAAGGGAAATGATCCACACAGACCAACAGTGTATCAGGCTGCAGACGTGTTCATTTTATCACGGGAGTCTGCTGCCTCTGCTGGACGGTGGAGGAACTGCAGCCTTTGGAGGTTTAGGTGATTGGTTTAGATCATAGGTGTCAAACTCTGGCCCGTGGGCCAAATTTGGCCCGCAGCCTAATTACATTTGGCCCGCAAAGCCATACCAAATTACTATCAGAGCTGGCCTACTGGTATTATACAGCTAATATATATATTGTTTAGTATTAAGCTCGGCTTGTTCCATATTCAGTTTTTCAGCAAAACGTGTCCATAAGAAAAGATTCATTCTCATATCTGGAGGAATAAATATGTTTCAATAAATATTAACATTAGCCCGCGACTTGGTTCCTGTTTTGAATTTTTGCCCACTGTGTGTTTGAGTTTGACACCCCTGGTTTAGATAATAATAACATTCCTGCTGTTTCCTCTTTTTTTTTTTTTTTTTTTTTTTTTACATTTCTGCGTCCTCAGTGATTCCTGGCCTTCATCATCATCATCATCATCAGCTGTTAAAGTTTAATTTGAAGTCTTGATGGAGCTGAAGGGCTTCTCTCTTTTTTTTTTTAAACCATTAAAGATGAGCACGTTTCTGTTTTGTATTCTTTGGTGGGTGCAGAGAGTTCAGGTGGGGGTGGGTGGACGGGGTCAGGGGTCACGCTGAGTGCCAAATGAGCAGATGACATTGATCCTTTGTAACTGACTAGTTTTGTATGAGCGGCTGCTGGAAGAAAAAGTAAAAGAGTTGAAACGCTGGCTTGTGTCCTGTCTTCTCTTCACTCAGTGATCTGAAGCCCAGGGCTCACCTGAGACGCTCACCTGAGCGTCCCGCAGATTGCCGATGATTGGTAAGAAGAAGCAGGAAGTGCAGCAGGACGTCCTCCATCAACTGCAAACAATATCGCCATCAAAAACTCAGCAGGTTGAAGGTGATGCTACAAACTCTGTTACTCCATGTTTCATTCCCCAAATCAAAATGAAGGATGCTGTAAAGCAGCTGCTGTGAAGTCTGATATTCACAGAGAGTTAAGGCAAGGCAAGTTTATTTGTACAGCACAATTCAACAACAAGGTGATTCAAAGTGCTTTACAGAGACATTAGAAACAAGAACAAATAAAAAGCATGATTTAAAATTGATTAAAACAAGCAAATAAACTAACTAACTAATTAACAAACAAACAAAACAGGATATAAAATCAAAACAGATAAAATCAGTAGTTAAATGTAAGTTTTGAAGTTTAAGCTTAAAGTGTGGATTTGGTGCTTTATTCAAATGCAGCTGAGAACAGGTGAGTCTTCAACCTGGATTTAAATAAACTGAGTGTTTCAGCTGATCTGAGGCTTTCTGGGAGTTTGTTCCAGATATAAGGAGCATAAAAGCTGAATGCAGCTTCTCCGTGTCTGGTTCTGACTCTGGGAACTGATAAAAGACCGGATCCAGATGACCTGAGGGATCTGGATGGTTGAGCGAGAGCCTCAACCCCATTATGAGCACCTTCTACAGAGGCACTGTGGAGAGCATCCTCAGCAGCTGCATGTGTGGTATCCTGCACTGGTTCCTGCTGGAAACAGCTACAACAGGTAGTGAGAGCAGTGGAGAGGATCGTGGGTACTTCTCTTCCCTCCCTCCAGGACATCTGCTGCATCCGCCTCATCCAGAAAGCTCTCTGCATCACAGAGACTCCACCCATCTGTCCAACAGCTTCTTCAGTTTGAAGAGCCTCGGGCCCAGAACCAGCAGACTGAGAGACAGCTTCATCCATCAGGCTGTCAGGATGCTGAACTCTCACACACACCAACTCCAGACCTGCATCCACCTCTTACCCCCCACACACTGCACACAAACTCTTGGATTGTGTTGGACTCTGTTGTGTGTGTATAACACTGTAATCTGTTTTAGTGTAACACTGAGGGCTGTGGGAGCACTGCAATTTAAAATTCCCAAGTATGTTCTGCACATGTGGTTTTTGACAAAAAATGACTTTGAGATTTTCAAAATGGAGGCCTTCAGTAAGTTATAAGAGATACGATAAGACTTCATTGATTCCACGGCGGGTTTTTGTTTTGCGTTGCCTCAGCTCAGGTACAGATACCAGAAGGATAAAGATACAGATAAAACACAAACAAATATAACCTCAGTAAGATAATACACTATATACAGCGGTAGCATACGCGCTTTAAGGTGTCAGATAAATAAAGGCCTCCTGCTGTTCGCTAAAAACTGAACCTCGTACGTTTTTATTCATTTCATTTTTGAGTCGTTTGTATTTTCCACATGAGCGCGCACGCCGCAGCTGCCTCGGCCACGCTTGCAGACGTGGTGACGACATGCGCGTCGAGCGCTATAATTTCGGTGGACAGCCAATCGGCTGCATCCAGGTCACAGAGCCGTGTTTGTAGCGGAAGAGAAGATGGCGGCTGCAGCTGCGGGGAACAGAAAGAGCGGGCTGCTGGAGAAAGTGAGTAAAAGCGTGAACGGATTCTCCTGAGCAGGATGAACCCCTGCGGGGAGGGTCTGTGTCCCGGAGCTGGGAGGTCTATGTCCCCGCTGCAGCTGCTGTGCGGCTCGGTGTGTGTCTGTGTGAGCCGCCGCTAAGGGGCTAAGCTAATGCTAACGAGCTAAAGTGGATACATTCAGAATGAAAACAAAATAAAAACAAAGTTGAGCATGAAGCTGAGAGCCGAGTTTAACCTCTGCGTGGGAAATAAACCGCTATTAGAGGTCAAAGTTCAGCGGTTTGTTCTATTTCCTGCTTCCAGCTGTTAAACAGCTGCACCAAACCGGAAACAGACAGTTTAACTAAACTCACCCGTCTGTTAAACAGGTGATGTAGGAGTGCAGGAGGCGTGCTTCAGAATGAAGCTTTAAGTTTCCACACATGAAACAGGTAAAACATCTGCAGCAGGTGGCGCTGCACGTGGGCACAATAACTTGTTCTTTTGCGGAGGGGGGGCGGTTAATTCCTGGAGCACGTTTCTGGGTCACTTCCTGCATTAAAGCAAACATGGCTTTTAAACTGCTGGTGTCAGACACAGTGGGGGGCGTAGAGCAGGAAGTCACCAGCTGACCTGCGATCAGGCGCCCTTCACTGTAAGAGCATGTATCTTGTTTCCGGTCTGATGGTCTGTGTTTGATGGCGCCCTGGTCTTTGTCTTCTTTCAGTTTTTGGACTGCGACGAGCCTCCAAAACCTCTCCGTTGTTCTCGTCCCCTCCAGATTTTTAACATGCAAATATTCTTTAAGCCCATTTTTTAGAAACTCATTTTAAGGCTCAGATTTCTTTAGCTTCCATCATACGATGACAGGAAGATGATGTCTCCGCCCTCAACATGAACTCTCCCTGAGAAGAGTTGCAGTCGCCGCCTCCGTGCTTATGTTAGCCTGATCTTCAGATGGAAACTGTCGATTAAACTGCTGTGTTTGTGTTTCAGTGGAGGATCGACGAGAAGCCGGTGAAGATTGATAAATGGGATGGAGCAGCGGTGAAGAACTCCTTGGATGACGCTGCGAAGAAGGTTTAATTGATTATTTTTATCCACATGTTAACAGCAAATATTCAAACATGAGCCGCATGTGTTACTTGTTCTTATTGAAACGTTCCAGCAGTTTACGTCCATGTTTCGGAGACATGAATGACTCTGGTTTAGAGCAAGATGTTTTAAGTAAAAGTAAAACAGGAAAGGTTCACTCAGATGAGAGGAGGGTGGAGAACTGCAGCTGGGTGAAGGTGGGAGGAGGGAACTCCTACGTTTGAAGCGACCTGAGCAGTGTTTCTTCAAGGAGCTAATTTCATTGGTCGGATTTTAGCTGATGACGTCAGATTCACACAGGGGGCGTGTCCAAATTCATGGGCTGCTTCCTCCTGAGGACGTATTTGTAGACCGATTACGTCACAGCGACGCGCCGAAGGCTGTCCAAATTCGTAGACTCCTCCAAATGCAGCCGACAAATGCGTCCTCCTTTTCCCCGAATTTGAAGGATGGGTCGGGTGTGTCCTTCGTGGCCCACCATATCCCAGAATTCATAGCGCGGCCCAGCCAAACTCCAGTTTCCAACAATGGCGGCCGCTACTAAGTTTGAATATTACTCTTATTAATCTTTCTGGGTCACAAAATAAACTTTTAACATATTTTCAGAGAAAGCAGCTGTGAAAACTTCAAATATCTGCTCGGTTTATGAAGACGCCACATATTTGTAAAAGTGCTTCGACGTTTTCAGAGACGTCTGCTACCCACCAGCTCGACAGCGAGCCGGGAGCTCGAGGGTCACTGGAGCCGCCGAGAACGGCACAACTCCCGGCACATCATTTTCAGATCACCGCGGACTTTTGCTACTCAGGTTAAACGTGATATATGAGTCACTTAGACAACCTAAAGATGTTATTGTTTGGCTTCTTCAGCGTTTTATTTGTTCCTGAGTGAATCTGTGTGGCTGAGATTAAAGTTAGTTTTCACACAGCTGAATAAACGTCAAACAGAAAACTGATTAAACAGAAGTATGAGACGGTCGAGAGTTTACTCCAGCGTCCTGTTATATTTTAGACAGCAAGGAGCAGACGGCGAGTTCATTAAACTCCACCCAGACCGCGGTGACACAAAACTGAAGGCTCGACCGTCACAGCCTCGCTCTTTGGTCTTCTCGGTCTTCGGAGGACGCAGTCTATGGACACAGCTACAGTCGAAACTTCGTCACTTGTTTAAGCTTTGAATGATGTTTGCAGCATAAAGCCAGCATGCGTGTGAGAGCTTCACTGTCGGCTGGGATTTTTCACTCATCGCGATGAGTCATGAACGCATGTGAAGGAAAGCTGCTGTTCACCTTGTTTGGCTAAACTTCATATCGATATGACCTATCTATGACCAGGTGCTGCTGGAGAAGTACGGTTACCTGGAGAACTTCCAGTTGGTCGACGGGCGCCTGCTGATCTGCACTGTGTCCTGTCTGTTTGCCATGCTGGCTCTGGTCTGGGACTATCTGCACCCCTTCCCCGAGTCCAGACCCGTCCTCGCCTGCTGCGTCATCTCATATCCTTCAGACGGACACATCTCACCTCTGCTTTTAAAAAATAAGATGATGAACTCACAGTGTGTCATATGTGAAACATGTGAGGGGAAAAATGTTGAAATAAGATTCAAAATTCAGAAACGACAGATGAAAGAGAAAAATGTAAAAATGTTTTTACATATTAAAAACACCGAAAGTCTCATGAATGTCACTGAAACACAAAAACAAATGTTTGTAGAAATGATTCCGTCTAATATGATGATGATGAGCGTGTTGGCTTTCCCTAACTCCTCTTCCTCACGTACTTCATCATGATGGGCATCCTCACGCTGTACACCTCCTACAAAGAGAAGAACATCTTCCTGGTGGCCATGCAGAAGGATCCAGCTGGGATGGATCCAGACCACATCTGGCAGCTCTCCTCCTCCCTCAAACGGTCAGTGAGTATGGGAATCAAACCAGCAACCCCCAGCAGTCTGCACATTTCCTCATCTGCGAAGGACTCAGAGTGGATCAGTTTGCGTCTGTGTTTTCCAGGTTTGACGACCAGTACACGCTCCGGGTGTCCTTCTCCGACGGGAAGTCCAAGAAGTCGAGAGAGGCGGACTTCACCAAGTCGGTGTCGGCGTTCTTCGACGAACACGGGACGCTGGTGATGGACCAGTTTGAGAAGAGCGTTTCTAAACTGCACGACACGCTCGCCGCCGACAAGAAGACCAAATAAAAGACGGGAAGCAAACGTGGTGTGAGTCTGCCTCCTCTGTTCCTCCTCAGAGTTCACTGGTTTCAGCGCCGGCTCCATCAGGAGCTGCCAGAGGAAACTTATTCATGCATTCATATTAAAAATCTGAAATCTGCAGTCTGTCTGTTTTTACCACCACACTCTGAACAACCCCGGAGGTCAGCACGCTCAGCCGCAAACCGGCGGCCGCTCCTTTATTAGACAGACTCGGCAGCAGGCGGAGTCACAGGTCCGTGTTGCCCACTCATGCTCCGAGAGTGGGAATGATCAGAAACCAGTGAACTTCAGGAGGGACAGAGACCAGAGTCAGACGCTCAGCTCCACTCTGAAGGGTTTATTTTCCTGTCACAGCTAACTGTCACTCAGAGGTCAAAGGTCAGGTGTTCTGTCAGCAGGTTAGGAACATTTCAGCTATTTAAAAACAACCTGAGACTCAATGCGTCTTCACCGGGTCTCCAAGTATTAAAGGTTTAAGGACCGCTGTGTGACATGGCTGTGGTGGGCGGAGCCTTACGTAAGGGTCACGGAGGTGGGGAATAAGCAGCTAATGATGGCCAACGGTTTAAAAATGTGATTTTTTTTCAGTGTTTAAAAAAGTAAAGTTTTCGTCATTTTTTTCTCTGTGATGTGAGAATCAGTTTGAACTGTAGCAGCAGGTGAACTAACCGGCGCGTCGGCTCACTGGCCGACGTGTTGGTGCCGTACAACAGGAAGTGGACATTGATCAGACCTTTATTTTGAAAGTTTTTTATTCTCAGATGCTTTCTGTGTTTAAAAAAACATTAAACTTGGATCTTGTTAGAGAAACATCTGGATGTGTGTCTCACTTTGAGTTCAGCTCTCAGCCCCCACAGGGTCACCTGCACAGGTGAACCTGGTCAGCAACCTCTGGGTGTGGCTTTGGTTTGTGTGGAGGTGTTTGTGGTGCAGCACCGCTGTCCGACCAGCAGGTGGAGAACTCAGGCTGACGTTCGCGTCCACAGGCAGCAGCCGGCGTGCAGCTCCAACACTGTTCACACGGTTTCTCTTAAAGAGTCAGTGATTGGACACGTGGAGGGTCTGAGCACTTCCTGTCTGTGCCTCTGAGCACCGTCAGGCGCTGATGAGGTTCAGTTTTCCAGCAGCGACGTCTGAACTGACAGCAAAACGATGCTGATTTCAATTTAAAGAAGGTCCTGAGTTTGATTCGCCCGCCTGGCCGGTCCATTCACAAGTATGAATGGTTGTCTGTCTCTCTGTGTTAGCGACCTGTCCAGGGTGTGCCCCGCCTCCTGCACTGTGGTAGCTGGGATAGGCTCCACCCCCACCATGACCCTGTCAAGGATAAGAGGATGGATGGATGCAGTTACATTTAAACCTGACTCAGTCTGCAGCACAGAGATCGAAACTAAAGTCGCTCTTTGAACTGTAAAACATTTCAGAGCTCACGACGTGAAACAATGAAATCAAAGCTTTTAAAGATTTCCTGATAAAAACATGTCAAACTCCAATCCTCATATTTGGCTTCAGTCTGCAGAAACCAAACTGAACAAAGTTACGTCAAATAAAATCCTATGCAACATTCGTGCTGATGATGTAGAGACCGTCTGATACTCACACGTCTTCAAATGGCCTCTGAGACTCCACCCCAAAACCAAGATGGTGGCAGCTAAAATGCTCAGGGTCCAAGAGGCTGAAGCTGCTCAAACACAAAATTTATGTGAAACACAGGAGTTTTTAACCATAATGAGGTCAAACTGGTTCAAATGTAAACTGTTGGAGTCAGCCCGGCACACGGCTGCTGGGTTAGCATTAAGCTAAATAACACAGAAACAACAACAATCAGACAACCACGTGTAAGCACTTTGGCAACAGGAAGAAGCCCCCAGCAGACTCAGAGGGAGCTCTGCGGTGAGTGTTTGGGATCATCGGTCTAAAGACCTTCATCATAAATGAGCGTGTTTAAATTTGGTCTGTTTTCCCGTTAATCTGACATTATCCAGGTGGCAGTGTCCATCTGTTATTTACAGGCTGTGGGTAGAGCACCTGTGGAAGTTTGTTTGTTTGTTTTTAGGTGACAAACACAAATAATAAAAAAAACGCTGGCAGATTATTGTACATGTTTTTAAATTGTTCTCTTTAAGGCAGCACCACTGATGTTATTCACTGCTCACAGAGAGGGGTGTGGCCACCAGACAGGGGTGGGGTTAGTGGTGAGGGGGCAGGGCCATGAGTGCAGGCTGCTGCCTGTCAGTGAGGCACTGATCAGATGTGTGTGTGTGTCAGAGTGCTGCTGTCTCTCGGCCATGGCCTGTCTGATGGCTGCCTGGTCCGTCCACAACCCCACTGTCACCAACTCCATCATCATGGTGAGTATGAGGACTCCAGAGGTATGATGAGGGGTGACCCTCTGTGTCTCCTGCTGGTTTAAGGAAAGGAAACAGCTTTCTAAGCAACGAGATCTGTGTGGGAATCAGCCTGAATGTGACGGTCAGCTGTGTGAGGCTCAGCAAATCTCACATGTTTGGGTTTTAAAGAAGTTAACAGTCCTGCAGCTCCACTGCACCAAGGTCAGCTCCTCAGGGAGGAAGAGGAGAGTCCTGATGATATGAGCAGAGCTCTTCTCATGATGATAATATGATTTTAACTTGAATGATACTGCGGGGTTATCCTCATCGTTTCTGTGTTCACGCACTGAAGGGGCAGTTCTGTAGTGCCGGGGTGTTAGTGCCTCTGTTGGGATTGTTTCTCTAAGACAGTGACTGCCAAGACTGGAAACCTACTGCATGAAATGTTGGGCTATAGTGAAAATGGAGTCAGGGTGGACACACGGGGTGATTACAGGATTTTTTAAATGAGGGGAAAATATATGTACTAAGCTTTGAACATTGCTAAATAATGCTCAGACCTCCGGCTTAAATCGTAAATCTGCAGGGACAAAGACTGTATATAATAGATGGCAGTAAGCACACTGAAATCACTCATTCGTTTCAGGATTCACATTTTAGCGTTTAACTACCACAGCGTTGTTTTTTACCCAGACGTAAACGAGAGGGTGGCGTGCTAATGCTAGCCAGCTTGGTGAGACTGTATGGAGCATCACGCAGATACAGATGATGCTAATTCAGTAACATCAGCCTTCGTCGACTGTCTGTGAGTACAGTACCCTCACAGCAGCGATATTATTGGTCAGATAGTATCATTAAAATGCTCCAAAAGGTTCAAGTGAAACTCGCAGCTACAGCCGCCTGTGTCACCATCCACCTGTCAGTCAAAAGGCCACGCCTCTGACAATGCAAACTTTAAGACTTCCTACAATTTAAACACCCTCGCAGCGTACCGTTGTTATGATGGCTGAGATTATCCACAGAGACCAAACATCATGACTCACTGCTGCCTCTGCTGGAGGAGGTGCAGTTATAATCGAGACCTCCTTGTGGCCCCTCCTAATGTCTGTCCGGGCTGTGGTGATGTCACAGCACTGTTTCGGGGTGTGACAATCAAATTCCACGCAGGGGCGGGGCTCCAGTAGCCACGCCCACGACTGGAAGTTTTGAAAGTTTAGTAGCTCTCACAGAGCGGACTCGTGCTGGGAGGATAGAAGCCTTTCTCCTTTCTTAACACGTGTAAGTACATTTACTTAATACTTGAGTATAAATGTGTGGTACTTGTTCCTCCATTGAGTCTTTTACTAAGACTTTTACACAAACCATGGAGAACTTGTAAAAATCGGATGATGTTAAAATCGTACAGTTTATGGGCTGAAACGATGAGTCACAACAAAGGTTTCTCACTACTTTAAGAACTTTTACAAACCAAATGGAGGAACACATTCATCTGTTGCTGCAGGTGTCTCGATGCTCCAGCAGTACAATTGTCCGGAGGAATAAAATACAGTAATTTAAGTACAGTTTTCAGATTATACTTATGTTGCAGTCAATTTATGAGGTGATCCACAGGTACAGTACTTGTACTTCCTTTACTGCTGCACACACAAAGTTTCCTCGTAAACATCCTGAAATCTTCTGATTTCCTGAAAAGCTCTTTGTTTAGTCACATGTTTATATGTTTCTGAGCTCAGGATTATCTCTGCTCCTGTCTGTGTGGTCACAAATTATTAGTTATGTGTATGTATTCCTATTCTGCTCGAGTTTTACAAAAAGCATCACTTCCACATAGAAAAATATTCTCAACATGAGTCAGTGATGTAAAGCTGTTCATGCTGCAGTGATGAGTAATGACAGGAAAGTTATTTGGTCGTTTTTTTAAGCAGACAAATGGAGACGTCTGAAAAATGTTAGATGAGCCAAAAAAACAAAGATGGAAAAACTCCCAGGCAAGAAATCATTTTTGTTTTTAAATTGTTTTCTCAAATTTTGGCTGACAGGTGACATCAAACACCTGTGACCAATAATATGTCTGCTGTGAGGTTGCCATAGTAACAAACTGAGCTCCAGGGTCAATGAGGGAAACTGTTGTTATTGATTAGCAGGTATCTGTGTCTGTAGACTGATAACTAGCTCTTAACTTAGTGCTCCTTCCTCTCATCCAAATATGGTCACTTCCTGAAAACAAGAACCAACATGGCGCAAGAGACATCTCAGGCACTGATGCTTCATCACGCGGAGTGGAGAAACCTCTGATACTGACCTTTATATTCAGTTTGTGAAGACCCGCAGATAATCCTCAATTGTAATTTAGATCTCAGTACTGAGAGTGAAGAAATCAATGATAAGGGTTACCATGGTGACCATGGCAATAGTTTTGCTGAATCACAGCAGCCGGGTGCTCAGTTTAAATCCTGCACTCAGCCTGTTCTTTAGCTCGGTGACTAAGCTCTGCCCGACAGTTACCTCCTGCTCGAAGGCAGATTAGTGCCTCGTTTGGGTCAGGTCAGTCACACATGGCCGTCCTACAGGAACAACACCGGACTAGCTGACGGCTAATAGTATTTAGTATTTATTTATTTATTGTCATTGTCAAGAACAATGAAATTGCGTTTGGGGCTTCCATACAACCCAAAAAAAAGAAGAAAATAATAAATACCCCTTAAAACCCAAGTGTACATATTTAACCCAGTGTGACTCCAATGCAATAAGACAATCCTTAGCAATAATGTTCGTAGAAATTCAGACAAAGACCTGAGAAACATGACAAAATACAACAATGCAACCCATTCAATATTATTGTACTGTGAGATATGATATCAGATATGATAGTTATCTATTTAAGAAAGAGGGGGGGCAGGAGGGGGAAGAGAATAAAGATATGATGCACCAATGCAGACCAGTTCATTGCTATTAAGAAGTTGGATATGGTTATTGTCCGTGAGAGGGGGGCAGAGAGTTCAGGAGCCTCACAGCCTGTGGATACAGGCT